GCAAGCACGGTAAGATCAGATTTTAGCTGAGGATAAGTTTTTTTTTTTTTATATAAAAAAAGTGTTTTATCATGAGTTATTTGATAAATCAAATATATCACACTCGTTCTGTGTTATACTTCTGTAGCTTGCTGTTGAAGTTATTCACAATATGTGTACAATAAAGCAATTGGCAATAGAAAAAGAAGTGTTACGACAATTTTCTGAGCTTATTCATGAAGTATTTATGTTGGTCAATCGAATATTATACAGATATAAATTTTTGATTAATCTTTTTCTGTTATAGATTGTCTTGGAAATCTTCGATAATACATGCAATAGCATATGCCATGTTCTGGGCATTAGATCCATACATTATGGCATTTTTGTATTGGCGTGCTCTCATTCTTGTCGAAAAGAACGAACTCACCTCGGATCACATTATAATGTAACGAAAATTACGATTCTATAATATAGAGATAATGCATCATTATCTTTTGAATTTATTAGGGTCTTTTCTTTTGCTGTTTTTTCGATACAAGCGCTGAGAGTGGTCCTGATGATGTAAAACTCTATATCTTTCCTTTCCTATTTTTCTTCCAACCTATTTATTCTAGGTCTAGCCGTATCGGCGCATCACTAGCTGGTGCTGACACGTTTTTTTATTTATTTGATCGAGAACCAGCTATCGACAACACATCGACTGAAGGGCAAGAATTGGTAAGAAGTCACACAAGATATCTATTCCATTTCAATTGTGTATCGACTATGCATAATATTTGATTCGTATAGATCGATTTTTGTGGAGAAATAAAATTTGATCAAGTTAAATTTATCTATCCTACTCGACCAACATCTGTTGTTCTTAACAAATTTCAATTGAATATCAAATCAGGTAAATGAGACAAGATTTGATTCAGTCAGTTTATCAGAAATTTTTCATTCACTAATAAGGTCAACGTGTAGCTCTTGTTGGTATGTTAGAATTAAATATTTCTTTGAATGTTTATTATGTAATATGTTCTCTACAGGTACATCCGGATGTGGAAAATCAACAGTAATTCAACTATTGGAACGATTCTACGATATTACAAAGGGTAAACTAGTTAGTATTTCTTCAACATATTGTTTGAGCAATCGTATAAAGTATGTCGATTCAATCTAGTTTCTTGATGGTATTGATATTCGACAACTAAATTTACAATGGGTTCGTTCTCAATTTGGTCTTGTTAGTCAAGAACCAATCTTATTCGATTTAACAATTGCTGAAAATATAACATATGGCTTAGAAAATATTTCAACTGAAGATATTATTAATGCAGCAAAGAGAGCTAATATTCATCAATTTATTGAACAGTTACCCCAGGTTAAACTTTATAGAATTATCTAATCTATCTATTACTGTTATATGATGTTATTGTTTTAGGGTTATGAAACAAAAGCAGGGTTGAAAGGTAGTTTTCTATCAGGTGGTGAAAAGCAACGTATTGCTATTGCTCGAGTTCTTATTCGTCGACCTAAAGTATTGCTCTTAGATGAAGCTACAAGTGCCATGGATTCAGACAATGAACATGTGAGCTGTTTGTTTTTCTATTTATCGATAAAAGATTCATCTTCATTTGTTATTTATAGCTTGTACAAGAAACTCTTGAGCAAGCTCAAACAGAAGATTCTAGTCGAACATCATTGATT